TACACACACACACACACACACACACACACACACACACACACACACATACGCACACACACACACACACTCACACACAAACACATATGTATGCATAAATACGTAATATGTATGAGTGTGTGTACGTGTATGTTTCTCTGTGTGTATGTGTGTGTGTATGTGTGTGTGTGTATGTGTGTGTGCCTGTGTGTATACTATAATTTATTTGTGTGTGTGTGTGTGTGTGTGTGTGTGTGTGTGTGTGTGTGTATAGGTGTGTGCTGGTTAAATATATAAATACATAAATATTAATGTACTCCCCAAACTACTCCGCCTCCCCGAAGAGGCTGTCTGAGTACACATCTAGGCTTAAATCCCAACACCCATGCCAATACCAACAGTGACAACAGAAAGCGCTAAGAACTTCTCTCTTTCTCTCTGCCTTTCTCTCCCACAGCTCCCACTCCAACTCCCTGCACTTCTCGCTATCTCCTATTAGCATTAATTTTTTTCTATCTATCTATCTATCTATCTATCTATCTATCTATCTATCTATCTATCTATCTATCTATCTATCTATCTATCTATCTATCTAACTAACTATGTCTGTCTGTCTGTCTGTCTGTCTGTCTGTCTGTTCATCTATCTGTCTATCGCACAAAAGCACAAGCTTTCACGCACTATTTACCGAACCCTACAATGCAGAAATGCATAAAAACATACATGTAAAACATTTTGGTTATCGTTTTGACACGTCGAAACGAGAACATAAATAAATATCCAAAAAAGAGGCATCACTAGCGCCACGTGAATGGATCTTTTTCTTGTTCTTGCTACCCAACAAATGATTTCTTTAAGAAACCGTGGTAATAAAAGAGTTATTAATTTTCCATTTGCCGACATACCTGGTGGTACTGCTAAAACAATGTTTTTTAATCACCCAGAATCAAGGGGAAAATAAAAGCATGACAAACTTACACTCTGATCTTCTGCGAAATCCTTTAAAGTACCATTTATCAAACCACACGCACACACACACACATACGCTGAAATGTATTACTCCAAGACGTAATGTTGAACAAACATTCACAACAGCAGTGCTCCTATCATTTCGCAACGTGTATCTGTTTCTTCTTGAAACCTATAACACAATCAGTTCTAGAACAACAGTTGTTAGCTATGCGTCACCTAGAAATATGAGCAAGATCCTCAAACAAAAGAAGAGACTTGAAACCACCTAGTAGTATTTTGCATAGCCCCCTGGTTGTTCAATATTGTATTGGCAATTTATACCAGGCGCACGGGCAGAAAAAGAAAACCGTAATGAAAGACAACTTGAGGATTGGTTGTCTATTATGGGACTTGGCCGCCACAGAATGTGAGGCTTATGGGCGTTTGTTCTTGCTTCTCAGAGCAGCACGTGTCGTGGGCGGAGTTGCAGTCCGGTACTTTTGGTACAGGAACATAATAGCAGGGTATCGGACCCTCTTTGCTCTTGCAAAATTCATGTAGTTAAGCATTTCAAGTGAAAAAAATACCGTGTTTCTTATGCTTTGTTTAGTTTTATTTTGTTTTCGGTTGTTGTTTTTTCGTTAAACTGTTTTGGCCATTATCGTTGCCATTGCCTGTGTTTTTGCTGTCGATAATGATATTATTGTCGTGCCTTATTTTCTTGGTCTTCCTCTGTCTTCCTCCTTTCTACTACCTCAGTTTCTTCCTTTACTTTCACCAGAGAGTTTACAGTAATACTATTACTGTAAACCCTCTCTGCTTTCACCGTATACGTCGGCATAATACTGTACTTTGTGATTATGTGTTAAATTATAGACAGCTTAAAAATAGCAAGAATCTATAATACATATCAAATCTAAGTGACGCAAATCAGAACATTCAACCATCAAAATTGTTGCTATTAAACTTTTAATAATGCCGTAGTCGAGAGTGGGAAATAGGAAAGACTTAATTTGAAGCATTTAACTTTAGAGTGAAAAGTTTATAAAAATGTATAGTCTGCTTTAGAAGGTTTAGTCAATAGCCTTTTTTCTGACCAGAGAAGATAATATGTTCAAAGCTGTCAAGGTATTGACCTATCTACTTCGATTTTCCAGAAACGTTACTGAGATCTAAGATATTTTGAATTTTTTTTAAAAATGTTCAATGATCTCGTGCATAGCAAAAACTAATACAACCACCCCAAACAAAACATCAACAAAGAAAAACCCCGACAAATACAGCTCGAAAAGAAACCCCACCAACAACAAGAAATTTTCATATTGCATGCCCATGCTTATTTTAGATTATATAGTACACTAGAGTACAAAGTGACTTTTACTAAGGGAATTCCACAACCTGATCTGGCTAAATCGTATGTATACAAAATAATAATATTTTATTATAATAATAT